TATATATATTAACAGTGACCATTCGTTCCCCTTCACCAACTATATTCTAGCTAGATGATATGGATATGGATATAGATAATATAAGTAGATTTTGTTGGCAAGGGGAAAAATAGGTCAGTTGGTATTCCTTGCCTCTCTGGACAAAAAATGTTATATAATTGTTTTTAATGAGAAAATAGTAACAACAGCGGCTTATATTTGCATATGTCATTTTTTAACTGTTGTAGAGTTTTACATCCATTTTTTCATCATCATAACAACCATAAAAGGTGGCTGAGGCAAGATTTTATCCCCGATTACAAATGAAGAAACTAAGATTGAGAAAGGTTCATGATTTACAGAGGCAGAATGGGAAGAGTTTAATCTGGAAGCCAAGTCTTCTAGGCGCTGATTGTAATGGGTTTTCTTCCTCTCTGACAGGGATAATTTGCAAACTAGAAAATCTTCTTCAGGATAATTGAGCATGGATGCTATCTGTCCTGTTGTGTTTTTAAAAATTAAAACATGGGAAATGCACAAGCATTTCCAGTGGGCTGATTGCAGCCTTCAGGCTACAAGTACATAAAGAGATAACTTTATTATCACTTCCCCAAGGGAAGGAGACAAATCATCTCTGACAAATATATTTGGATTTGCTTTAAACATGATGAGTCAGTTCACTTTTGCCTTTTCTTCCAGATTGGGTCCATTGCAGGTGCAATCCTCATCGTGCTCATAGCTGTGGTTGGAGGAATATTATACCAAGGTGCCTGGATCATCGCTCCCAGTCTGTGGATTATAGGGGCAGTATTTCCTGTGGCCGGGTATACCCTGGGGTTTCTTCTGGCTAGAATAGCTGGTCAGCCCTGGTACAGGTATGGTGTTTTGGTAAATTGAATTTTTGTCTTTAATAACTGTTGTGTAAGTTTGCTGGAGCTACTATAACATAGTATCACAAACTGAGCGGCTTAAACAGAAATTTATTGTCTCACAGTTTTGGAGACTAGAAGTCAAAATGAAGGTGTCGCAGGATTGGTTCTTTCTGAGGAGCGTGGGGGAAGGATCTATTATAAGCCTCTCTCCTTGGCTTATAGACGGCCCTCTCCTTCCTATGTTTGTCACAGCTTCTTCCCTCTGTGCATATCTCTGTGCCCAAATTTCCCCTTTTTATAAGGACACCAGTCATATTGGATTAGGGCCTACCTTAATGACCTCGTCTTAACTAATTATACCTGCAATGATCCTATTTCCACATTAGGTCACATTCTGACCTTCTAGACTTCAACCTATGAATATGGAAGGGAAGGGGACATAATCCACCCATCAAAGCTGTAAATAATAATGACAAGATCAAAATCCTTCACCTTTAATCATATTCATCATCCTATTTCTGAACACATCCTTTCTAAACAGACTCATTCATTCATAAAGCATGGAAGTCCCCAGAAAGAAAATACTCACTGCCTCTTTTTTGCACAAATTCTTCAGGGCCATTCCCCATGCAGTGCAAGTCAGCCTCTTCCATTGTTATGCATTCGTGTTCTCCAAGCAGAGTGACTTTAACACATGCAGTTAGGTTGGCCTTGTGATATAGGAGAGTTCCTCCAGCCAGCAACAGTGTGAACTCCTCATCCAAAGGCACTGAATGTTTGAATGGGTTTAGCATTTATGGAGTTGGCACTGGGTAGAAACATTTCCTCTCCTACTAAATCCATGTGAATCAACAGGCAGGTATGAGGTTGGGAAGGACACGAAGGGCATGGCATGGTGGGAAGAGTGTCACCTTTGAGTCAGGCAGACTGGGGCTTGCCCTCTGCCCTGCCACACGCCAAATAGGGGACCTCAGGCCAGGCACTCATTCTTTCTCTGAGTTTTCTTATCTGTAGAATGGGGATAATTTCTACCTTATAGATGTTTTTTATCAGGATTTAAGCAGAACGAAAGAAATTTAGCAGTAAAATATTGTATCTTGAGTATTTTCAGAGCCCTTGCTCCGTGTGCTGCACTGTTACGAAAGACATAACTGAAAAGGGTAAAATGAACCCTCTTGCCACTTATAGAGCACTGTACTAAAGGAGCCTGCTCCTCATATATGTACAGACTAAATCTATTTGTTTATATTGTGTATAAGATTATATCATTACATAATATACACTAATAAGCAATATATTCAATATAAAGTTATATATCAAATAAACATACATTAAAAACACAGACAAAATACATATATATATATATATATCTCCTTGTTCTCATTGTATCTGCTTTTAAGGTTCTGCAATAACAAAGCAACAACTAAAACACGCACTCTCTTAACCTTTCTTTCAGGTGCCGAACGGTCGCCTTTGAAACAGGCCTGCAGAACTCGCAGCTCTGCTCCACCATCGTGCAGCTCTCCTTCACCCCCGAGCAGCTCAACCTCATGTTCACCTTCCCGGTCCTCTACAGCATTTTCCAGCTCTCCTTCGCGGGCATATTCGTGGCATGTAAGGAACAATGCTAACCACATTTCATTATGATGTTCCTCTTTGAGAAATCCTGCAGTTGCTAAAATGGCTTTTTGTTGTTGTTGTTGAGTTCCCTGTTCCTGGCAGTGAGTTGTACAAATAAATGAGAGGAAAAGGCCCTCCTAATACTATCATGACTTCCCAACTGCTGATGAAAAGGCTATCATTTTACCAAAATGTTCTAGTGAAGATTATTTTTAAGTGAAAAGGAGTGGAAGTTGATTCTCCTCATTGACTCTTTTCCTCAGTAATTAGGGAGGCATATTAACCTGTTAGGAACATTTTACTGTGTGCCTGTGCCTTCCCACATGTTTCCAGGAACTCAGAATTTGGTGATTTTTTTTTTTAACAAACATTTGTCTTGATATGCTTTGTAAATATAGGATATTTATCAGAAAATTGGTACATAAAGGATATTTTTCAGGCTAAATTATAAGGCAGATGCGTGTGTGTGTGTGTGCGCGTTAAATACCCATGTAATTGAGGCAGTTGAAGCAAAAATATTCTTTATTTCAAGCGCCTGGTGTAGATAACATGATTCTTACTTCTACTCTCCTGTAGCATAAGGCTGCCACCCTCTCCCATCAGGCCCTGCCACCCACTGGCCTTCACCTGGTGGAAACTTTTCCCTACATTTTGCTTTCCAAGGGCTGATGATGTTTAATTACTATTTTTAATTCTATTTTTGTTTTTTAATAAAGAAGCTACTTTTTAAAGCTTCACAGCATTTCACTGGGGAATATAAAGGGAAGGTGCACAACAAAAATAATGTGAATGTTAAGTTATATAATGCCTGGAGACACTGTTGTGTTTTGTTTTACTTTTCTACTTTGCTCCATTAAGTATTCCATTAGCCTGTGGGTGCTAATCGACCTCTGCATTACTGTCTTGAATGTTATTCTCAAAGCGGAGGCTTCCTTTCTAGAATGGAAGAATCCACTGAAAACATTCCACTGATTTATCATGGGTCCAGGAGACAGGAGTCCATGGCCTAATAACTTCGTTCTCTTGTACAATAACCTTATTTGATTGTATAGAGGTCAACCCAATTTGGCAGGCAGTGAGATTTTGCCAAACGATTACTCAGCAATGTCTACTAGACAAGCCAGAGAAGTGGACTGCTTGATAGAGCAGTTAAGTAAAGGTGCTAGTTGAACAACTAACCCAAAAGAGATTGATTAATAGAAAATCAAGTTGAAGGAATAAGGAAAAGGAAGAACTGGAACTGGTATTGTACTTTTCTGCAATTTTATCAGTAAGCATGAAAATAAGGAAGGAATCTTTATTAAGTGTATACAATGCCTAGAAACATATTTTAGTGATAGGAATAGAAGTATAAATAATGTTTGGAACAAGGAAAGTAAGGAAGGAAAGATAAAAGGAAGAAAGGAGGGAAGAAAGGAAGGAAGGGAGGGAAAAAAGGGATGGATAAGGTGTGTAGTTTGGTCAAATAAAATCAATGGCCCAAGTACAAGTTGAGGGAGGCCCTACTCAAAACAGTTTATAAGTGTTAGCTCTTCAAACTGACCACAAGCTCAATTAAATTCAATAATATGGTTCAGTGGCTTTGGAAATAATATATTACTAGAAGTGCAGGGACTAATCTAAAGGGGATATTGATCTTGGCTTAATAAGATCTTTGAAGCAGGTCACTGTCTCTCTCAGCTGTGTATAGTAATGACCATTAACATTACTGAGCATTTACTATTGTTCACGGACCATGATAGGCACTTAATTTTATCTTATTTAATGTTCACAATTGCCCTGTATGATAGGTAATATTATCATAGCAACTTTATATGTGAGGTGTTGGAATTTGAGAGGTCCAATAAATAATACCTTTTATTCTCCTGTTGATTTTGTAACCAATTGAGAGGTAGAAGAAAAATTAGATCTTTATGTAACAAAATAGCATTTTTATTATGGATAAAGCTTAATTGGAACATGTGGCTTGAATCTGGGACCAAATGGGCTTGTGGATACCACTCCTCCATCCACTGCCTCACACATGTGCAGACATACACTCACATACACACACATAACAAAGACATGAACTGCAGGTCTTCCCTGGCAGGGCAGAACCTGTCCTGGTGAGCAGACCTCAAAACTAAGCTAAGAAATGGTTGCTACCAGAGACTAGCAGCTCCACAGAAGAGAGGAAAGCCGATCAGCCAAAGCTCTTCCCCCATGGGAGAGAATGAGAGAAGGCAGGGAGAGAATGGGAGTGTCATTCTAGTTCAAGTCCTTCCACAAAGGACCATGCCGCCAAGGTCCTGGACATAGCACTGCAGCATCTAGTGTGTTTATTGAGGACTAGCACGTTAGCTGGGATGTGGTGGTACAGAACTCTTGCTTCTCTTTGTTCTTCCTATTGACAAGTACCATGTGCAGGGCTGAATGCCTGAAGTCTTGGGGCTGCCCTGAGCAAATAATCCCTAAAGTTGTATGCGAGGTCTTCCTGAAGTGCATTCATCCCTTTTGCCATGGGTGGTCATAAGACTAAGAATGAAGATTGCTTTTTCCAAGGTGCCTCCAGTCTACAGAAAATGTAAACTGCTTTATGAGTCATAGAGTATAATCACTATCCAAAGTAGTTTTGCAGCTTATTACTGTGAAATTTACTTAACCTCCTGTGTCTTGTTTTTTAGGTTATTTTGCATACAGGAAATATGGTAGGAAAAATAATGCAGAACTTCCAGAAAACAAAGACAAGGAAACAGAGTCCAAGTCATCAGTTTATAAGATGAATTGATGATTTCAACCAGATGAAAAGTGGACACCAAGTAGACAAAACAGAAGAGTTCTAAAGAACAGTCTTAAACTATAACTACATTTAATTACTTGTTTTGTCAGGATATTTGGCAGGAAAAAGTTAAAGTGAAAATTTCCATTTTAATTGAATTTACCTGTTGGTTTTGGTACCAAGTGACTTGTGGTCTAATTCTCTGATGGGAAAAATATTGGTTTTGTGTGTGTGTGTGTGTGTATACATATACATATATATTTCATATACGTATATATACACATGTATACTGTCATTGAGATATTCCCAAAAATTATCTTCAGACTAAAACTGATATAGGTAACACTGACAACAAGAACCTCATAACAATGAAACTGAATTTTTAGGCAGAAACTCATAACCCAGAGATGAGGAACTGACTTTTGTAGGTTAAGGTAAATGTAATGAATTAGTATTGTAGTGATCAAGATTTTCTTCAGTATTTTTGATTGTAAAAAGATTGACCTGAACATCTTCCACTGACATTTTAATCATTATTTTGAAAACTTTGCAAACTATTTATTTATATAACTTTGTAATATAACAGGCAAATATCTGACTTCCTGTATTATTTTTAAAATACTGCCTTCTCCAGTGACAGTGCAAAAACAGAAGTGTGGGAAAATTATTACTAAATAGAATTCAATAACCAAATCGGAATCAGATTTTTAACTCAACAGGAATATTGTACATCGGTTGCTCTACCTCAGGGGGTCCAATAATGGCCATTAGAGCTTTCAAGGAAAAAGATAATTTTTTCAAATGGTTGAATTTGGCTAAAAGCTCTTCATGCCCTGGAGAGGGACTTCCTCAAGTTTTGCCTATGGGAGGCAGGTCCACATTGCTAATCTGATAGCTATTCAATTTATATGCAGCATGCACAACCGGCATCGTGAGCTGTGAGGTGGCAGGAGGTGCACAGACAATAGAAGTATTGGGAGAAACACCACGATTCTAGGGGATGAATGAATTCTACGGGAGATAACGTGAAATACACAGAAAAGCACAAACAACAGAAACCCAGTTGAAATGCTTATCTAGAGGCAAATAGATGTGCCTCTAGAGTTATAAGAAGAGTCAGGTAAAGAAAGACCCAGAAAGTGAATATAAACAGTATTTGAAGAAGAGGACAGGTCCCAGTGCCCAGAAGTAGGAAGGGCCTTGCCAGCCAAGCGAGTGCCTCCGATGCTGTAAATAGGTGTAAACACAGGAAGCGAGGAAGATTCGATAAATCCTTCGCCGGGCTTTGATTGATGGCTGCCAGGGGGAAACAACTGGTCAAGTATTGGGCTCTCAACTATGAAATCTAATTTAATTCCCTGTCCCTCATTTTGCAGCACAATGCGTGCACGTTCTTAACTCAGTCCTTAGTGGGCTTAGCTCCATTTTATATTTTGGTATTTTCACTGCCTCATAGATTCCCTTTCAAATGTTTTGGCTCCAAAGGCCTTTTTGCATTTGAATGTTCTAAGCCCAGAACCTGCCCGTGCACCTAAACATCACAGGAACAGGACCTCAACTTAGTTCTTCCAGTAGAGGATGAGGGATTCTGCTTTTAATAGTTATAGCATTTATCTTTTTATCCAAGGTTCACATTTACAATTGGATCAGGCCTCCATATTTTTACATCCTTAGACAAATGGACTAAAATGGACTAGAGATTTTTTTAAGGGATAGTGGGAGAGAAGGTATAGAGTTTCTTCTTAGTGAGTGTCAAAGAATATGCTTTCAGTGGTGGAAAAGAAGACTTTCAGTCTATCGGTAAAGTACCTCCCACACTTTCTCATCAAACAGAAAACAGACAGGTGCACTAGGCACACTGTGAATTCACATTCTAATTTCAACACACCCAAAGTCAAGGGCTCAGATGGCAGCAGCTGCAGCAAGCAGGTTTTGCCTCACTGTTGATCGAGATTCGTGAGTGAGACAGAACTTGGCTTTTCTTACATGATGTGGTAGCTTGTGAGTTATGTTTTTTCTCTAATGTGCTAGAGGGAAGAAAAATAGCTGAGCTTTCTAAAATGACAGCTCTCTATTTTTAAATGAGTTTGAAAAGTCAATTAAATTATGTATTTTATTGCCTCTGTGAGTATCATATTAAATGAATATTTTATTTTAAACCCTTGAATAAATGAAAATAATTTTTGTAATGTTTGTTCTAATTGAGTCTTTGTAACTACTGTCAAGAATTTTCTTACTGTTCAGTTCTAGAGATATAAATAAGGTAGAGTTTCTCAGATATTAAATTGTTCTTTGAAAAGTACCTGAAAGAAACTCTTAATTAAATACTCTAATAATTAGGTCTCCCACAGATACTGATTGAGGTTTCCCCAAGAAAATCATACAGAGGGAACATTAATCAAAGACTCTTAAAAACGGTGTGACAATGATACCTGATTTAAAATAATAGCAATGTATTTCATGTACTTATAAATAAAGCCACCACCTTTTATCAAATGGTCGTATATGCATATCCATACGGAGAAAGAGAGGCTTCAGTTATGAAGCTCATGCATTAAAATCACTCATCACGACACTTGAAGAAATTCAGGTTACCAAGCTCTTTTGACTCCTCAAAGATATCACTCTGCCTTTCACCTAGGAAACTCTCACTGTCTTCCAGCAGGAAACAATTTATCTCCCTTAGAATATTTGATATCCCATTGCTTCTCAACCCTTCACCTTTTTCAAAACCACCTACGTTTAGAACAAGTCTTCAAAGTGTGGTGTGGGTACCCCTGGGAGTTCATGAAATTGTCGCAGAGCTGTGCAGGCACCAGTGGGGAAGCAGCTTCCCTTTCTCAACTTCCAGATGCATGCTCTCCCCAAATCCCCCTGCCTGAGACACCAGTGCTTGAGTTCTCCTGGGTTCTCCTTTGCCACCTCTTCTTTCCCAGCCAGGGATCTCCCCTTGAAAAGCAAGGCTTTATTCTCAGGCCTAATCCTACTATGGTACATTGGCCCAGGATGGAAAAATTTTTTAACACCAAACAATTCAAAATACTGATATCTGAAAAAGGCTTCTTATCTTTCCCAGTTGTACACATACTTATTTAAGGATTTAGAAATGAAGTATTTTGGCATGTCTTGGAAAATTTTGAATATAGAAATAATACAAAGTGGGGTGGGAGAGAAGATAATTTTGTTAACGTGCCAGCA